TTTCTCCTAGTTAGACCAAACTAATAAAATAAAAATTGGCAATTATTACTTATAAAAAAAAAATTAACTAAATCGGGAAAAGCTATTTTAATGATATAGTGCATGAATGGAAAAAGAATCATCCTTAAAGTTAAGAATAAAATCATAACTTATTACTTTAATAATTGGATCTAAAGAACCAAAATGACAATCCTAATGCTAAGTATAATGGAGTCTCTTCCTCTCAGGTCCCGCGGCAGAGCAGCCGCTGGGCGGCGCATGGTCAAGCTTTGAGTTACTTTTTCAGCAAGCTCAAAGTCCCTGCCTTTCTAGCTCAAGCATCCGATTCCCATCAAAAGCAGCAGCTAGAGGAGGAGTACGCTGATGATCAACACACACGGAATCAATCAGCAATCCTCTTCCTCCGGAACAGCCCGATCGTCATTGGGATCGTCGGGGTCGTCGTCGGACACAAAAGTTCAATAGTAGATTATAAAGATTATCAATTCGAAATTTATACATTGGAATAAAATTTTTACAAAATTTTCAATTTTCAACTTCTTAACAACAATGTATAAGATGCTTAAAAAAAATTTCAATTTTCAACTTCTTAACAAAATTACATTTTAATTTTACAAGTGAAACAGGCAACACTTATTTCAATTGAACTTTGTCAATTAGTGGGTTGAAGATAGATTCAGTATAAGTATAAGCCAATACAAACTTTAGACACGCTGCCGCTTGTTCCTTCTTGTGCTTCTCCCTGTGTCATTCTGGAACTTCTTCTCGTAGCTCTCGTCACTGTCACTTGGATTGGCTTCCTCTTCTTCGTCTTCTTCATCCTCCTCTTCTTCTACTACTTCCTCCTCCTCCACCTCTCCTTGTTCTTCTTCTTCCTCTTGTTCTTGTTCTTCTTCGTCTTCTTGTCCTCCTTGTTCTTCTTCCTCCTCCTCTTCCTCCTCGGACTCGTGTTGCTGCTGCTGCTGCTGTTGGCTCGATCTCTTCCGTTTCAGCTTTCTCCAGTCTTGCGACTGCTGCGAGCTCTCGGGCTTGTCCTCGGTGCTGGACGTCGGCGCCTCGCTCTCGGAATCCTTGGCGTTGGCGTAGCGAGTCTTTACGACAGTCTCCCTGTATCTCGTACGCACTTTTAAAACGATCGGACCTTTGCTGCTGCTGTTGCCTGCTGATCCGCTTCTCCTGGAGCCCGTCTGTGGTGTCGACGACAATTCCCGAAGGCTCGACCTTGTCCTCTTTGATAACGCCACCTCCGTCACGTCTTGTCCGTCCTCCACGGCCTTGAGCCACTGCGAGTCGCTGAGAATGTCCGAGTAGATCACTTCCTTTCTCTTCCGTTTGCCTTCGAGTGGAGTGGAGTCGTTGTTTGTGGCAATGTCGTCGGTCTTGAGAAACACCCACTCGGGCACCTCGTGTTCCTCCATCAGCCGAGGCCTGTATCCTTCGTCCTTGCGTCTCTCCTCGTCCATCTCCTCGAAGAGCTCGAATTCCTCCTCGGACGACGCCGTCACGCGGTTGATCTCCCGCTCGCTTGGGACGTCCGCCGACAAGTTGGACGTTCCTTTTCTCATGATCTCCTCTAGAAGTTCCCGCCTCTCCTGAGCTGGAAGAACACCGAAAGCGTGAGTTAGAAATAGGAAAAACAAAGGTTATAAAACGTTACGGGTGGATGTGGTGTTGAAAAGCCCAGCCTGGATAACTTTTGCGTCGATTCCCATCTTTGACTTTGCTCGCTCCAAGATCTCCTCCTCGATAGATCCCACACTGACGAGCACGAAGACGTGAACTTCCTTCTTCTGTCCGATACGGTGCGCTCTGTCCTCTGCCTGCTGATCCATCTGTGGATTCCAATCGCTGTCGAAAATAATAACTGTGTCTGCTGTCTGAAGATTGAGCCCGAGGCCACCAGCACGGGTGCTCAGAAGAAACATAAAATATGGGGAGTCCTCCGCATTAAACATTTGAAGCTTTTTGCCACGGTCCTCCGTCTTTGTCGTCCCATCAAGCCGTAGATAAGTAAATCCGCGCGTCGTCAAGTACATTTCCAATAAATCCATCAGACGAGTCATCTGAGAAAATAGCAGCACCCTGTGTCCGGTCTTTTGGAGCTTGGGCAGCAACCGGTCTAAGAGCTCAAACTTGCCGGACGCGCGAATAATCTCGTCACGGTCTCGTGGTTCGTAATCCTTGTTGAGAAACAGGTAAGGGTGATTACAGCATTTCCGGAGCTGCATCACCGTGTTTTGCAGCCCCACTTGCTTTTTTCCAGAGCCTAGATTTCAAAACAGTTAGAGCAACAACTACAAAACAAAACGAATGACGAGAACCTACCAGTAAGCAGTCCAACACGACGAGATTCGATCATTTGTTGATAATAAAGTTTCTGCCATGCGGAAAGGTCGCATTTTAGCATCACTTGCGTCTTTGTAGGTAGAAATTTTTCCACTTCAGACTTCTTTCTTCTCAACAAAAAGGGCCGAAGGACCTGTGAAAATTACGTTTTAAACTAAAAAGAGAAGGAAGAAGGAAGTCGTACCTGATGCAAACGCCTTATAATCAAAAGTTGTTCTTCTTCTGTAAGAGAAACTTCCGCTCGATCGGCAAATGGTGCATTAAACCATTCCTCAAAATTCCCGCTAGAATTGAAAATTGCAGGTAAAATGAAGTTCAATAGAGACCATAGTTCTTGTAGACTGTTTTGAATGGGTGTTCCTGTTAAGAGCAATCTCCGCCTTATGTGATACCTGCACAAACACATAATTAATACCAGAACAACGCAAGCAGCAATCTTACCCGGCAGAAAGTGTTCGAGCGAGCATACAGTCGTGATTTTTCAGACGATGCCCCTCATCGACAACCATGTAATGCCAACGAATCTTTTTAAGAAACTGTTTGTCACGCATTATTAGATCGTAGTGTGTTATAAGCACGTTGAAAGATCCTTCACCGGCATGTTGCTCTCTGAGAATTCTGCGATCTTCGGCACGACCATCATACATAACTACGGAAACACTGTCCAAAAAAATCCAACAAGGTTCAAGCGAAAACTTATAAAACAAGTCGGAAACATTACCTCGGGACCCAAGTACTAAACTCGTGAGCCCAGTTCGGTAAGACAGCCTTGGGTGCTACGATGATATGTGGACCATTCAGGCCCTTGTTCTCAATAAGGTATGCAAATAAAGCAATGGTCTGTATAGTCTTACCCAAACCCATCTCATCGGCCAGTATCCCGTTCAAGTTATTGTTATAGAGGGAGAGCATCCATTGGAGTCCCTCAATCTGATAAATTCTCAGTTGCCCTCCTTCCAGCATTGCAGGTTGTTCAGTGACCTGCAAGAAAAAGTGTCAAGCTAAACATTAAATAACTGAAACGGAAAACTTGCCTGCTCCTCAATCTGGTGAACAGCAGAATTGTACTGCCTTTGTCCTTCAAGATAGTCTCTCTTTTTAGTATCAACGTCACCCTTCCCAGATTCAGGTTTGGATTTCGGAGATGACAAGCTCGACGGATCTTTCGTTGCATCTCGATTCCGGTCCTTGTGCTTATCCCGTTTGTTAAAAGCTTCAACCGGGTCTGTATCCTTTTGCTCTTGAACCATGGCACCCAGACGCTGCAGTAAGTCATCTGTTTTTGATAACAGTGTCGTCAGCCGCTCATTTTTGCTCTCTTCCACCATGCGCATGTACGCTTCTTGGTCATCGGCTCTAAGCGCCTGATATCTCAGCCTTTCAGCGCGTGTGGCCCGCTGCTTTTGTTTCGCATGCCAGTTCTACAGGAAAAAAAACTGTCAGCAGAGATCTAGTGGAAAATGCAAACAAACGTACAATAATCCCATCATTGCGCTGTTTTTGAAGCTTCACAATTTGCTGGCCTTGTAGAAGAAACTCCCTACCAAAATTCATAAGCTCGCTAAAGAATTTTCGTTTCCTTGTTTGTATCCTGTCTTGTTCAGCTTGTTCAAGCCGTCTTTGCCTCTGACACACAAAAAAAAATTTAAAAAAAATAAGGGAAAAAAAGTACTAATAGTAAAATATACCTCGTCTTCTCTTTTCTTCCGCATTTGCTCGTCTGAACCACTGTAAGCAGAGCCAGTGTATCCACCCAGAAACGATGATAAATGATAGCGCAATCTCATTAGTCCCCAATCTACTAAGTGAGTTTCCACTCGGTTGCATGTCTGCTTAAGTCGTAGCTCCGTGGCAACCTCGAATCTAACTTTCCTTTGAAGTCCTAGCAGCTATCCAAACAAATCATGAGGTCCAGCATAAAAAAAAGCAATTGTTTGGGACTTACCTTAAGCGTATTGAGCTCTATCTTAGAACTTGGTTGCATTTCTTCGCTTGACAAGCCTGGGAAGAAGCACGTAGTAAAAAAAGTCTAAGCCAAAAAAATCTTACTTCCAAGTTCTTTCAGCCGACGCTTGAGCCGGCCGTAGAAACGAGACTCCTCGGACCTTCGCAGCTGTGCCGCCGAGACGTACTTGGAGTGCTCCAGCGACGACTCGAAATTATGGAGCAGTACCCCTCTCTCCTCCTGCATTCGCAACACCAGTCAAACTCTGAGAGCTAGACATCCCCGAAATACCTCCAAATCCAGCAATCCATCCATGCCATCGTGATTCTCCTCTGGCTCCGGCTGATGCTTCTGCAGAGAGAAGGATCAATCCCGCATCATTTTCCTGCGGACAAGACCTACCTTCTGATCGGCAATCCAGCCCTCACGCAGGCGCGCCACGGATTCCAGCAATGCGCCCGGCAGCGCCACATCCCTGGCGATCAAACAAAGCGCCCGGAGAAGGAGCTTGAGCTGTCGGCGCTGCTCCAGCGACAACACGAGATCCTCCGGCAGCTCATCGAGGAATTGATGCGAAATTTGCCCATCGCTGAAAACACCCATGGACATAATTTCCTTCCCAGGGAAACAAAAACCCTAGACTAAAATAGGGCATCCGCCCACAGATAAGCGGAATATGCCCGCCGCCTGATAGAATGTTCCTCTTCCATTTGTACTTACAAGTTCTTGTCTTTGTTAAAAAACTCCCTATAGCAACAAAACTGCTACACAGCGAATCAATTATATATACGCGCTTCCTCCCCGAGAGTGGTGGTGTTCTTCCTCAATCTTGGGAGATAACTTCACCGAATTTCATGAAGAGATGGCCACCGGAGTTCGTGCTGCTGGCCGAGAGATTGTCCGCGTGCTTGCTCTCGGCATAGTCGTCGATGTAGCGCCGCTGGTTTGGATTCGACGAGACCGATTTCTTGGAGAGTGCCGGCACTGGCGAGAGCGAGAAGAGAACGTTTGCGACGTCGTGCATTGCCGGTCGCTGGGCCGCTTGCTTTTGAGCGCAGAGTAGAGCCAGCCGGATCATCTTTTGGACGGTGCCAATGTCTTGGCAAGTGTCTTTGATCTCGGCGTCGATCACTTCCATGACGGTGTTGTTGTTTACGTGACTCAATACCTGGACACAAGAAAGTAAGAACGTAGTTCTAGCGAGGAAAAGATCACGTACCCATTGATGCAAGTTCCTTTCGTCGTCCACGGCTTTTAATCCGGTGATGAGCTCCAGGAGGACGATGCCATAGCTATACACGTCCGACTTCTCGTTTAGCCTCGACGTGCGCGCGTACTCGGGGTCGATATACCCTATGGTTCCCAGGACAAAAGTCGATGTGTGCGTCTTCGTCGGACATATGCTCTTGGCGATTCCAAAGTCTGATATGTGCGCGTCGAAGTTCTCGTCCAGCAAGATGTTTGAGGACTTGACGTCCCGGTGAATGATCCGCGGACTGCAATCGTGGTGAAGATATGCCAGCCCCTGGGCGGCTCCCAGAGCAATTTTAAGACGTGTATCCCAGTCCAGCTTTACTTTTCTCACTGGTCCTGTAACACAAGCCTGATGAACAAAGAAGCTTCGAACCGAGAAAGATCTCATACCGTGCAAGACGTCCCACAAACTTCCGTTTTCCAAATAGTCGTAAAACAAAAGGTTGCCTGCCGGTGACAACGAGTATCCGTGTAAGCCAACAAGGTTCCGGTGCTTGATATGGCCCAGAGTTTCCAGCTCCGTTTCAAACTCGTGAATGTTTTGAGGGAAGTGGTTGTACAGCTTCTTGATGGCAACTGTCTTCCCATTCTTGAGCGAGCATTTGTAGACAGTACTAGAAGCTCCGCGGCCAATTATGAAGCGTTCGTTAAGATTGTCTGTGATCCTCATAACATCATCGTAGCTGTGGCACGCCATGTCCATGTGAAGAACAACAAGGTTGGGCGGACCTGTGTAAAACACGAAACAATATTAAAGACTGACAGTGGCAAAGCTGAAGAATGCGTGCGTACCTTGGCCAGTTTTGCTTGAACCCTTGGCGAACGGTTTAGAATGATTCAATCTTATGCCCAAGAAAACCAGTAGAAGAACCAAACAGATTGCAGCTATTGCTATACCCATGATTGCCGTTGCTCCAATAGTATTAGACTGCTTGGAGCGATAACCGCAGACAGTTTTAGTCGAAGTTCCGCATAGTTGTGAGTTACCAATGTAACTGTAAAAGGAGAGATGAGGAAACCGCAAGCGAATCATGTCTCAAATACCTGTCGGGCGTGAATTTTGAAAATATTGTGCCCGACGGTACCTCTCCAGAGAGGTTGTTATACGAAACATTCCTACAGAAAATTGTCAGTCACACAAAACACTGCTCAATGTCGAGCTTACAGGATGTTGAGACTAAAACAATTCGTAAGTTGAACTGGAATAGCACCTGATAACTTGTTGTGTTGCAGAAACCTATCAACATTGGGCAAAAATTAGTTCTATGAAAGCGAGTAACATGGATCCTTACAGAGTATTTAATGTCTGTAACTGGCCTAACTCTGGGGGTATGTTCCCTAAAAGCTTATTTTGCGAAAGATCCCTGAAGTTGTGTGTTAGCGGCGCGCTAGAAAACAGAAAGCAGCAGAAATAAATCTTACAGCAAGTCAATACTCCGTAAATTTCCAAACTCCGATGGGATCTTTCCTGAAATATCGTTATTGCGCAAAATCCTGCCATTCGATCGTATAAGAAACATCAACTCGCAGAAGTCACACTTACAATGTCAATAGATGTTCTAGGTCACCAACAGAGCTTGGAATGGATCCACTGATATAGTTATCAGACACGTCCAAAGTATCCAGATTTACTATGTGACCAAAGTCGTCAGGAATACTGCCGCTGAAGAGATTTGACGATAAATTCCTGCGACAACGATAAATTATAGTCAAACCACGCAGCACGGAATAAACCACTTACAGATAGGTCAGGCTATCAAGCTTCTTCAGTTGCGGTGGAATGCTCCCATTTAGTCGGTTTCCGTGCACATTGCTGGCAATACGAAAGAATTAGCGACTCGAGCCCCAATACAGACGACTTACAGATAGTTCAGAGCATTGCAAGAGCTTATGTTTTCAGGAATACGCCCATACAGCTGATTGTTAGCCAGGTTCCTGCTGCAAACTATTAACACAAGCAATACAACCGAAAAAAGACGTACAACTCAAATAGCTCGCTTAAAGATCCAAGCTCAGATGGAATTTCTCCAGTCAGTTGATTATCATTGAGTTGCCTGCATTGTAAAGCAGATCGCTAATCAATCGTAACACAAATATTCGTAAACTTACAAGTAGCTTAACTTCGTCATGTTACCAAGCTCGGGAGGAATAGTTCCGGTAAGTAAGTTACCGTGCAAATACCTGGCGTTTCCTTAAACTTAGTTCAACGCCTTGACAGCAAGTTCAAGTACATACAATTTACCCGTATACGTCAAATTTCCCAAAAGAGGGGGTATGTCACCAACTAGACGATTATCGCTCAAATCCCTATAAAGCATCAAGATTGTTAACTACAACTAGCCAAATAAATTGAATTTACTTACAATACCGCAAGGGCCTGCATAAGCCCAATCACTTCAGGTATTTTTCCTGAAAACTGGTTGCCTTGAAGTGATCTGATACAAAACATTAAAACATTCAGGAAAACGAGACGAATAAACCTACAGGGTGGCCACTTGCAAAAAGCCAATGTTGTATGGTATTTCTCCATTCAGGCGATTATATGCTAGATCTCTGCACCAAAACCCATGTCACGTGAATGAGAACGCCGAATGAATGTAAAGATTACATACAAGATTTCAAAACTTGTGCAATTGCCTATGTTATCAGGAATAATCCCAGAGATATTGTTGCTGCGCACATCACTGAGAGGCAACCTTCCCGTAAGTCCGTGACGAAAATCAATGACAGAAACTTACAAGTACCAAAGCCCGGTCAAACGGCACATATCAGAAGACAGCGTTCCGCTGAGAGAATTGTCTCTGAGCCCCCTGTTCCAAATGATAGACATAAAATCATTCCTATGAAAAAATGAGACTTACAGGTACTGTAACACCTCGCTCCAATACAAGAGCGTGGGTATCTCTCCAGTGAGCTGATTTTGAGCAAGATCCCTGTCCGTCAGAGCAATAAGATTAGCACAAGCATTCACCAGAACAGCCTCAAACTCACAGCGTCTTCAGATTCGGCAGCTGAGAGAGGGTCGATGGAATGGGTCCCGTGAGCTGATTGCTCTTGAGAATCCTGCACCCACATGAACGCATGAGACAGATATTTTCGGAGACAATCGGCCATATACGCACAGAGTTTCAAGCTGTTTGAGCTGCGATACTGAAAAGGGGATATCTCCGACCAATGCATTGAAGGATAAATCTCTGAGAAACAGCGTCAGACCCAGCAAATCTTGAGAACAATACAGGCTCACATGTATTTTAGAACAGCACAGTCGCCTATTTCATCAGGAACCTGACCACCAATGCTGTTCTCTCGCAAATCCCTGCCAGACATACGCATTAGACTCCAAGCTCCACGAAAACAGCTCCATTCAAGCTTACAGATACTGAAGACTTTTCAACTTTCCTACCGATGGAGATATCACTCCGGAAAGGCTCAACTGGGTGAGATTCCTGCACAAAACAAATCAGATGTGCGCAATGTACATGAAGCGTGAAGCAAAAAACACATACAGCCCAGTAACGGAAAGTGTCACGTTGTCACATGTAACTCCCCTCCAAAAGCAAGGATCGTGATCAGCGGAACCATCCCAATCGTAAAGAGCATTGCCGGCATTACTGAACGACTTCTTGATCTCGAGCAAAACCGCGCCTGGGAACGGAGCAACAAACAACTTAGAACGCCCAACGTAGACCGAGGATCCAGAAACCAAGAAAAAGGAGCAGCAGAGAAAAGAAATCACAGAAACAGATACTCTACTCACCGTCGTTGGAGAGCGCAGCAGCCTCCTGAGCTACACCAGCCCAGAAAAGCAGCAAGCCCACAAGCAGAAAGAACGAACGTAGAGCCATATCAAATAGCTTGAGAACCTCGAGCGAGAAGGAGCGCGAGAGCTCGAGGCTAGCTGCTACGCTTCCACAGAGATCAGACCGAATGACGCTCGGTCATTGTACACCCCTGCATTGGTTCCCCCGAGCCCACACTGCTAACATCCCGGCGTAGAAATTTGCAGCCGCCCTCTACAAGCTAGCTCCTCCTTTCCAAGCCACCATGGCGAGCCCTGCGTTTACACCTCCCTTCCCTGGCAAAAGTCCAGAAAATATATCCCTTTCCTCTTGGCTAAACCCCTGTCCCTCAATCAAGGCGGCAAAACCCCTCCACTGCCGCTGCCAAGAACCTGCATTCCTGTGTTGTGCTGCTGTGCGGCCCCTCAAAAAAGGCAAGCAGCGGCTGTTGAGTCACTTCCCTCCCATTCACTGCTCCAAATCGCTGGAAAAGAAAGACCCCCACCTCTCTCTCACCTCCTTGTCCCTAGCGCGAACCAGAAGGCTGCCAAGAACTGGGGGCAATCGATTTCAAACCAAAATTATTCAAGCGCAGCACCTCCCAGTTCCCCAGTTGGAGCAGCGGCAGCGCCAGCGGCAGCGCCGGCAGCCATCGCCATCAGTGATCAGACTGGAGCACGCAAAAACTGGAACATTAGCAAGCACAACACCGATCCGTGTCAATTCCGACGCCGCGCCCCACGCCAGGCCGATATTATGCCCATGAAAGCTCCACCGCAGCAGAAATCCGTCCTTGGATGAGAGCGAGCTGGATCCGATCCTCCAAAATATTCCAAGAAACCAGGAGCGGGGGAAGGATCGGTCGATCGATCGCGCTGCTGCCGCTGCCGCTGCCGCCGCGGAGCCGATCGACACCCCGCAATGCAATCTCTTGGCGCCGGAGAAGTGATCTCTCGCTAGAACCTAAATGCCGAGGAGGAACAAGAGACGCATTTTGGCAGGGATCGATAATCCGCCCCGGCGGGCTCTTGATTGCAAGAATTCACTTTACTCCGTTTTACCTGACGGGTAAAAGCTTTCTACCACCCCGTCCATACACGCTCTCCCACATGGGGCGACGATAAGGACGTATGTCCTCACCCCAAAAACTCCCCGCCCAGCAGCAGCAGAGCGATAAGGACATATGTCCTTGGCGCGCTTCTGGGCGCTAAGGACGGGTGTCCTTGACGCAAGGACACAATCCTTAGCTCCCCGGCGGCTGCTTCGCTTTGGGCCGCGCGCTGGAAAGGCGAAATAGGCGAAATAGCAAATAAACCCTAAAGCGATCATGGAATCATTTGTTGGGATCCTGAGTTTGAAAATGTTGAAAGAGGGACGTAGCATCGCCGCTGATCACTCACTCAAGCATATAGACTATATGGTTTGCTGTAGGAGAACATGGTATGGTATTTTTATATCACTGCAATCATGCCAACCATTTATGATCGGTGGTGGTGCAAAATATGAGAAGCAAATATTTGATACCCTAAAATGGTGTGGCTGGTCACATCTTTTGCATGGCTCTTAATCAAAATGGCATACGAGTTCGTTAGGGCCACACGCACAAAGCCACCCTTATTAAAGCCCCAGTGAAAACGCCTCCCTGCACCCTTCCAGAGGCCGTACGGGGCAGGGCATCATGTAGGAGTCAAAGGCATAGCAGGTGACCGGTACCTGCCGGTGGCGGTACCGAGTGGTGTGATTTTGCTAGTGAGTGTGTGTGTATGTGTGTATCTAGCTCCCTAATGAGAGTAACAAGGACCCACTTGGCTTAAGGACGATTCCTCCGGAAAATTCGTATTCGTGGGTGTAGTAACTCTAACCCGCCCACCCCGCGATAAAAATCATAGAAAATGACTCCATCGCATTACCTCTCTGTGATTCTCTCCTTCAAGGCCACTAACATTCGTTTCGCGCCATCATTCAAATCGGGAATATTCCGTCGCAACGGGCGGAGCCGGTCGCCTGACGTCACAGCAGGCCGTCGCGGAACCCGTGGGCCAAGACGTTATGCTGCTTAAGACGAATTATGCGACTCACACGTGCCGGTTTAATCATAAAAATCTCGTATGAGGTAGTACGGCGCTGCCGGAATATTCCTGACCGAACGTGTCGGTATATTCAGGCTAAATTTTCTGCGTACGGGGATTTTATGTGTTAATAATGCACATGGCACAAGTGTATAGAAGTTAACATCTCACCAGTAAGTTGTTGTGCGATTACATTTTCTTTGTACGGAACTGTAGCTCGGGCGAACTTCCGTATGATCCTGGGTGAATTAAGTTGTCCTTGGGTTTTTCTATTGCCGTTGTTGGTAGAGCAGTGTTTTGTGTCTTTGGCTCACTGCCTCGAAGGTCTAAAAGCTTTTATAATAACCAGAGAGAGCCCCACCACCATTTGGCGAGCTCGATCCCGCCTATAAACAAAGACCTGAGAATCCAATCTCCCAATCTCCCAGCTCTCGAGGCGAACAATCATTTGTTATGACACGTCCCAGTTGGATCGGGAGAAAACTTTGGATCGATGCAAATTCCGGAATGAGGGGATGTGCCATTTACCTCCCTCCCCCCCCCCTTTCCCTCTCTCTCTCACCCTTTGTTCCCTCAACAAGCAATTGACTTATAACCTAGTTTACTTCTTGTCCCTGTTGCAATGCAAACAAAAGGTAAAAAAACTTTCACCTTTGCTCCCCCTCGTTGCCGGGAAATCATTTTCTTTGCAGCTCGCGGAACTGGCTTGCATGTTCCACCAGGCAAGAAAAACTATATCACCCTTTTGTGGCTGTCGTAACTTAAGATCACTCTCTGCAGGGACTAAAATAACCACGGTGGTACAAGCACTTTTGTAGTTTTCTCCCCTAGAATAATTTGTTAGTGCCGCTAAAGCAAAGTATGGTAATCATACATAGGCCAGGCCCAAAAGAGTGCAAGATGTCAATCGGCCTGCATTTGTTTTTGCGGCCTGTAACATGCGGCGCATTGCCGCAAAATAATTCTCATATAACTCAAGAGTATTCAACTCCATAGCATAATTCTCGGCTACCTCTAAATAAAAGGGAACATATTTTTAACAGCACCACCATTATTGTTATTTAGAAAAGGTTGGAATCAAAGTTTATTATCGAGAGGTACAAGCACTGGGGTGGCTTATTGCAATGCAGCTAAAGCGAAGTAGACGTAAGGAGTTGTTTTTTTGGTGGCGGAACATGCCCCCCCCCCTCCCGCACAGCCCAGCGAAGCGAGGGGAGCTTTTATGCCAAGTGAGAAGATGCAACGTATATCTGCTGGAGGGGGGCATGGCAATTCGCTCTAGCTGGCCAACGAGATTATCAATGCGTAGTCCGTTATATACGAGCTGGAGCATACAAAACGTTAGAGAGAAAAAAAAAGGAGATAGAAGAGGACCACGAAAGTCGTTAGAACTGTCTTTGTTTTCCTGGTGAAAGTTATCTCGCATCTGCAGAGAACGAAGATCTTCTCTTATCTCTCAGCTCTACGCGGAGGGACAAAGTCTTTGCGATACTTACAGGCGCTTCGAAAGATAAAAAGAGTTCCGGATGGAGCTTATTAGAGTTGTTTTTGCCAGAATCTAGCTTAGACTGGTTGGAGCCCGGCTCTGGCTGCTGCTTCTGACCAGGCGCGACTGGTCGCCTGATTGAACAAGACGAAATCGATCTGAGAAGCAGCAGCATCACAAGTCAGCGGTGGAAGAGCGGCCGAGAGCACGTAATGACTTGCCTCGGAGAATCCGTGCGCCTCCTCCTGGATGGTTTCCAGAGCGATTTGCGCGGCTTTGGCGAGCGGGAATCTGGAGCCAAAGTTTAGCGCATAATGAAACTCCAGTCTACAGCAAAGCAGCTCTTTGTTACCCGTTGATCCCGCAGGACAGCGCTGGGAAGGCTGTGAACTTGATGCCTTGGCTTCGTGCGACTTCGAGCGAGTTCCTGCGACGTATCAGCGTGAAAATGAGAAGCGAGAGAAAAAGCTCCAGAGTGCTATATACTTGTAAGCGTTCTTGAGAGTCTCGACGCTTTTGCGAGCCTGTTCTTCGCTGAAGGTTTTCTTGTACGCTACACCCACAGTGTGGATGATCTTGCTCACACGGAGACTAAAGCCACTGGAAAATAACCACACAATCGATTTGTACATGAAAAACTTGCTTACGGTGTTCTCCTGGAGGACAATTGGGGAGTTCTCGGCAGTGATCCAGTAGCTCCTTGCCAGCAGCACGATGGATTGCTACTCCCGAAAGAAAGAATTTTAAAATTGCCAAGAGAGTTTTTCCCACCTCCGTCGACGCCACCGCCTCCCAGTAACCATTCGTGCGCGGTGTTGACGATCGCATCGCTCTTGCCGTCGGCAATGTCGCCCTCGCGCAGCACCAGCTTGCAGGAATCGCCAAGGTTGTAGCTCTTGCCCCGCTTCTCTTGCGAGCCCTTGCCCATTTCCCGCCACAAAACCTAAACCCTAAAACCAAGTATATTCTTGAAAATATCCCCATCCTAGAACAGCTTACTTAAAAAACAAAATGTCTAGCTTTAAAAGAATTAGCACCTCCAACTTCTACAACGATTTCAAAACTTTTGGAGCAAAACCCAGTTTCACATTGTACAAGCACTCGAGCTAAAGCGAGCTTGCCGCAACATGTACACTCGGAAGATCGGTTTTGAGCATCTGTATTCCTCATTCTCTAGCTGGCCGGCAAAGAACACTGGTAAGGTTCACTCCCAAAAGGAAAACGCAAAGAAAAGAATGTCGTACCTCTAAAGTCAGCGCATGCTACACGAATATCTGCCGCTGGAGGACACGAGTCCCGTCACAAAAACGTTGCGCCGCTGTGGAGCAAGTTGTGAGCGATCGCATCTCGGGCCTGGACGGCGGCCGGATCGCTGCTGCTACTGTCCGGGAACATCAAGTCGTCCACGGCCTCGTACGCCAGCTCCTCGTCAAACCCCTCGTTGTGGTGCTCGCAAACGTTGTGGAGCACGCTGCATGCCCCCAGCACCGCCGGGAGCTCCTGGAGCTTCACCTCGGTCCGCTTTTGCAAGAACTTCCAGCGTCCCTTGAGCCGTCCAAACGCGTCCCTGGCGATCTTGAGCACCTCGGACAGCTTCTCGTTGAAAGCGTGGTGAGCCCAGCCGAGGTTGTGCTGCGTGTAAGGCACCAAGAGCCAGCTGAGTAGCGGATACCCAGGCCCTCCGGAGACCCAAACTCCGTTTAGCAGGCCATCCGCCGCTCGCTGCGCGAGGTTGGACTTCTCCAGGATCCTCTCGTCCGACATGGAACCCGGCCAGCCGATGGAGAGGTCCGTGAAAATCCCGTGGATGTCCACCACCCCTTGCAGGGTGATCGAGTAGGACGTCTTCTGGTTCCTGTCCGTGTGCCGCTTGTTGAAGTAGGCCGCGACGTTCATCTTTGGAGCGATGATCGGGATGTGCGTCGTGTACATGGCCCCGACCAGGTTTGGAATCCCGGAGATGGCCTCGAACTCCTCCATCACCGCCTGGAGGCGCTCCTCGGTCGGCCACTGGACGTACTTGGACAGAAGAACGTCGTTGATAGCAGCGCAAACTTCGAGGACCAGCTTGTGACAAGTTGATATCCCGAGTCCGAATCGCTTGGAGACGAGCCTCAGCGGCTCTCCGGTGGCGAGCCGCCAGATACAAACCGCTACTCGTTGTCTCACCGGGATGGCCTGGCGGAGCATCGTGTCCTCCTTGGCCACCGCCAGGCCGAGCTGGTCACAGATGATGTTAAACGTGCTCTTGCTCATCCGAAACGCGCGGTGGAACTCGGCCTCGGGAAAGCTCGGGTGATTGCAGCGCTCCCACCACGCCTGCGAGCGTGATTTCACCCACAGCCGGCGGTGGACGCTCTGCTGCGTCGCGATGGCGGCACCAACAGCGGCCACCGCCAGCCGGCTCCGCTTCAAACGCAGCCTCTCGAGCTCGTCAAGCTCGGCGTACTCCTCCTGTAGATGTCGGTGGTAATCCAGCATCAACTCCACGCGTCTCTTGTGCTCCTCTTCGATTCTCTGCCATTCCAGCCGGGACCGCCTCTCAAACTCCTCCTCTTCTTGCTGCTGCTGCTCGCTGTAGACAACCAGGAAGAGCAGCATCTTGAGAAGCTCGCTTCGTCTCGGGTTCCAAGGTCTCTTCCTGATAGTTACCTCCAAACCTCCGGAGCCGCTCATTGAGCGTCCTCCTAGAGAAAATCTCTTCCAGATTCACTAATCTGCTTGTCGATGGCGAGGAGAAAAAACACCGCTCGCCAACATTCTTCTTCTTCTTCTTCTTTGTGTTGTTCGTCTTCTTCCACCTAGACTCTGTGTCTCGACATACTTCTATTCTTCCGCGTGTTTACGCTCTCCGACCACCTATGATAAATCCTGTATTAAATCTAAAATCCTTGCAAGAACTCTTCCAGCTTCGGCTGCTACTTCTAATCCTGGTGATCTTGCTGATTTCTACCGACAAAAAATCCTTCCACGTGAATTCGCAAAACTTTGTTTTTTCTCCGACCATCTATCATCTGCTTCACACCTGTGCCTGGAAAAAACCTCATTTCTAGAAGAATTGGCCCGGCTCTTCCCTACACTGTAGCTTCGTCGGCGTCAACCAGTTAGTCCACACGCATCCTCTATCAATGCGGCACCCCTGTCCGGACGCGACGGCCGCTAAACCCTATTACGCGCTTTCCCTCCTTCCCCGAAAGAAATCCCTGTCGATCGATCGAATGTGCTGCGTAAATCCATCATGCGCAGACCCCCACACTGCACTCGCCCTCGCTCGGGCAGCGCGCGCCAGGAGAAATCCCTGCCTGCCAGGCGCGACGAAGAGGAGGAAAGCGAAAACTCACACATTCTCCCGATCGCACCTCAGCGTCGGATCAGATAGCGCACGGAATTCCACTCCCCCCGCCGCCATCAATGCGCGCCGCCGCCGCCGGGAGCGAGGCCGGGCGGCCCTCCTCCCGCCATTCCGCCATATCGCTCGCTCCGACAAGGAGTGGTTTAGCGCCGGGGGGGAATCGAACACGCGATGGGGTGGACGGCGGACGCGCAGGGGAATCGAACACCCGACGTAACGCATGCTAGAAAACCTTCATTCAATGTTTAAAAGAAATTCCAATCAAGCTAAGTTGTCTCGGAGTTGTTGTCCTCTTGATAACACGAAACAATCCTCGCGAAAGCTTGCTTGATCTCGCCAGCTTCCTTTGGCCTCGTGTCCTCGCCAAGATCAAAGCTCTCGAAATGGCTGATGAGCGCCTCGGCCATCGCTGGAGAGATCTTGCCGCCGCCGCCGCTGCTAAGTTTCTCCTCTAGCTCGCCCAGCGACGATGCAAGAGCCGGGAAAAACGCGAGGAACCAGCTCGTGAACACCGCCACCGCCAAGTCTGCGAAGCTCGGAGGAGCCAAGAGCAGAGCGGACGAGAGAGCAGTGCTTGGAGTCGACGATCGCAGCAGCGACAGCATCCCGGACATGGCTTCCACATCGCTCTCCGGGTTGACGCAGCTGGAGCAGAGCTTGAGCACCTCGAGGCTTGTCAAGGGTCCACACCCCTGTACTTCCGCGATGAGGAGCTTCCAAAAGTAGTGCTGCTCGATCGAGTCCCAGGCCAGTGACGCCTTGACGAGTCTGGCCAAGTTTTCGGCGCTGCCTATCACGGGGAACTCGCCGAGAGCGAGCCGGAACTCCACGCTCAGTATCTCCGCTGGGCCGAGGACCGAGACCATCAAGTGCATGAACTTGTCATAGCCGACTGCCAGATTCGGGAGGTAGCGGCACACCGACGGGAGAACTCGCTGGAGCCGAGCAACGTTCCACACCAAGCACGTCTTGAGATCGTTGAGTAGAGCGAACCTGACTTCTTCGTCTGGATTCGCGACGCTTTCGGCTGCAACGTTGATCAGGACGAGACTTCTCTGGAACTCCTCGTAGGCTTTGAAAGCCTCGGCCACTGCGTTGTGAAACCTCTTGCGCAAACTTTTCTGCGTAGCGCTGCTGCCTTGCCTCTGGAGCCGCTTTGTCTCTGGAGCTCTCGTCGCCTCGCCATCCTCGTCGCTGATGTCGGAGGCCTCGGCTTTGATCTGGTCCGCGTCTTTGCTCTTGAGGATGCCAAGCACGTAGTCCTTCGTCTCCAGTTCTTCCGCAAGCCGGCTTACGTAACAAAGGAGTCGTGGCCCGACTGCAAATCCTTCCCGGGACCAGAAGAGCAGCATCGTCCGGACGTGAGGATAGCCGAAACCAACGTAGAGCCTCAAGAGGCTGGAAGTCAGGGACATGGTCTCATCACCTTCGGCCTTGGTCGTCGGTGTAGCTGCTAGAGGGGAGAAGAGATCGTACGCTGCCTTCTTTGTGATGTCCGTTACCTGGGACGCAAACTTCTCGGCTCGCTCCTGAGAAGTCAAGCATCCCAGGGAGCTCTCGAGAACTTTGATGGCGGCGTCTTGTGACAGGGCCAGCGCCTTTGAGAACTTCTCCAGGTGTGAGATCAGCTCACTCGCGTTTGGATCGTGAACACCCGTTCGCCTTCTCTTCCGAATCACACTCTCGGAAGTAGTGTCCACTTCGCCTTTATCCTCGCTCTCCTCACGTACTGCGAGCTTGCCGAGAGGTTTGAGCTTGAGGCCATCGCCAGCACCTTCGACTTTGCAGTACAGTGGGAAGAGCTGGGACAGCTTCTCCCGCAGTGGCAAAGCGATGGCCGGTGCCGTCGCAAGAGGCTCCAAGTTCCGGACAACACCTTTCCCAACCAAGATCTCCACCGACGCTGCTACGCCCCGGTGGAGCAGTTCCTTTCTCGGAGGATCGTAGTGCTCCATCAGCAGGAAGAGAAACTCCAGCAGCGAGTTGGTCATGTCCACGTACTTTGGTATCGACTGAAACATGACGAGTATCCCCGGCTCGATGTTCATGATGTTGTCGGTCTTCGGCACGAAAAAGAGCCAGTCGTAGAGAAGCGCAAGCTTCGCGTTGGCCTCGACGTGGTTGCTCTTGCAGCACTTGAGCAGCCACCCGATGAGAGCCCACCGCGGCAGGATGTCCGACTGGAGAATCTGGTTGCTGGGATGGTGGACGCAGCAAACATACCGTATCAAGTCACAGACGAGCGTCTCGCTCTCCGGGGTGGACAAGAACCGCTGCGTGAACCATCCCTGGTACCGTCGCTGGCTTCCCATTCTTACATGCGTGAGCATGAACTTGATCTGTGCCTCCATCTCTGGCGTCAACCGGGACTGAAAGTACCTCGTATGAGTCTTCACCACGTAAAGTTGTCCGATGTCCGTGAACGAAGGCACCCTGAACGATGCCGGATTCGCCAAGAGGTCCCTCCAAATGGCATCAAACTCGGCTATGGAGGAGACGTCCTGCAAGAGCCGGATCAAGTCCCTCCCAATCCCGAGGCACTCCTGGAAGTGCTCCCGGATCATGGACGCGCAGAACTTGATCTCAGCCTGGCGGAGCTCGTTCACGGAGGAGTTCTTCGCCATGCTGTGATCCGGAAGAAGGCGGAGATACGTGTAGACCGCGCTGGTGAGAAGGCCATGGTTGGAAGTCACCCAGGAGATTTTGGTGGTGAGAACCTCGAGCATCTGCATCGCGAGCCATACGTTGGTCGGGCTCGTGTCACCTCCGACGATCTGGCGGAGCAGTAGCAAGCAGAGATTGTCCACGTCCGTGGCATAGAACTCGATGAGCTGCTTGAGCAGCCAGATGATCTGACCCCGAGGATGTTCCAAGAGTTTCGCGTAGGAATCGTTTACCAGGCGAAGGAGGAGGCCAACGAACGCCGCGTAGCCATCTGTGGTGATGGTCGTGAGCTGATTGATAAGAGAAGTGGCCGAAGAGCTAGTAGCGGAAGAAGCTCCCGCTCCTCCTCCTCCCTGGGGCTGGATGAGAATGGCGTAGAGAAGAGCTTGCGTGAGAGGGCCTCGCTGTGCTGGCGGCACTGTGGAGAGGTAGGATGCGCTGAGCTGCGCCTGGAATGTGGAGTAGGCCTGCGAGAGAATGATCTCGAGCTCGTCCTGTGCCTCGTGAGAACCCCTGTGGAGCAGCTTGGAAGTCATGACGCTAATTCCATGCCCATGGCAAGAAAGTGAGACTTCCGCGTGCAATGCGCCGGCCGCCGCCGCCTGCTGGAGAGAGCTTACCTCGATCGATGGATCCCTCTGAGTAAGAACCCTAAAATACTTTTCTCAACAACGGACAATCAGGACCCTTGGTTGCGAATGATTCTCGTCGAGAGCTAGAGTACAGCCCTTGGCCGCGTCAACTAGGATGAAAATCTCATTCCAAAGGCTGCTTTGATAGGTTTAACTTCAGTCTGGTTTTCCAACTCCAGCAAAATTTTGAAAATTACGAAAGGGAAAGTTCCTTTTATAATGTTTGTTACTTATATCTCATATCAAAATAATTTAAAACCACTCAAAACCACATATAATATTGCTCAAATCAACTAAAAACTAGCTCAAATAGGTTATTGACATGTCTGTAAATTATAACTATCTTCTCTTATCTGCTTCTCACATTAAATATCTCTAATATGGATATGTTTTTTTGGGTAACTTATAACTAATCTTCTCTTATCTGCTTCTTTTATTTGGTGCAATGTTAATTGATAATTGGCATGAGAAATGACTGTTTTGGTCTTGGCAAAGACATAAACACAAGTAGAAAGTATTGTAAAAATAAGCTCATGAAGCTAATAAAGTGGAAACCCCAAATGTCTCAAAGGATAAGGCTTTGAAGTTAACTTAGTTGGTTTATAAGAACTATTTGCCAAAGGAATCCTAATAGAAATTAAATTGGTATAGCTTAAGTTGGGAGGTATATAATTCGAGTGTGTGGACTCAAATAATAATGGAGGTATGGAAGCATTAATAATGAGTTGTAGAACTTGATGACTATGAGTCAACTAAGCAAAATATATAACATAATTAATTGGATTGGTAGAAGTTAAATTTCTTATTGGGATAAGAAGGTTAAATATATCCCGTGGGAGGATAAATTATTTATGTTGCAATATAGTAAATCAATGTCATAAAGGGAAATGCTCATTGTTAAAGAAGGCTATTATTAGGACATTTAAACACCTTAAAACACTAAGAAGTGGTGTTTCATATCATGAGGGTATTAGATAAAACCAAGAGACTAAATCCTTAGTGAATAATGAATAAGAAGTGCTATCTAATGTTCAAAGTTGCAAAAATGAGAAAAATCAATTTATCTGAATTAAATAAAGCCAAAAGGGATTTTGGCAAGGTTAATGACAAACATAAGTAGCAATGTTAATCTTGGCATGTGGGATTATAAGGTGAGCATATCCAAATTGAGGAACCACTTCTTAAGCTATTAGGTAAGTTCATCTCTAAAAATATTTACTAAGACATAGTAGAAAATGCAAATTTGTCCTTCTAACCTAGAGGAGAATAACCAAAAGAAATGTATAAGGTCAAAAGCAAATAGTAAAAGGATAGAACTGAATTATAATAATCAAAAAGCATAACCGAGAATAGTTATACAAGTTGGGAGTAGAGAATCAAGTGGGTGCTCAAAGGTGTTGCTATTTGCAATCATGATGCCATGGAGAGTATAGAGTATGGAATTATCCATGTTAGACTATATGACAATTAAAAAACTTGTGAAAAAAGAGGCCTTAGTAAGCTAAAAGAATAGTCCTTCTAATGTTCTTAAAGACAATTCTAGGTAAGTTAATATTTAGAAAAACAAGTGTAAATGGTTCATAAAATTGCGTAAGATTAAAATGGCACAACAAAAGTATGGCTCGAGGAATAAGCACAAAACAAGGTACATGAGTCTTTAGATAATGGACACAAGAAAACTAATACATGACATGTGGAAGTATTAAGATGGAGTCCAAGATGGAGTCTAAAGTCGAGTCCAAGGTGGACCTAAGATAGAGTCTAAGGTTGAGGCTGAGAAAGAAATTGAGGCTAAAATTGAGACCAAGATTGAATTTTAAG